TTTTTTATTCATATCTTTATATGTTTCGAAGATGTTGGTGGGACTTCGGCGACACTCTTCCCCTTTATTTAAGTTTATATGTTTCGTGAATAGTTCTACGAGACAGGCACCAGCGGAGGCTACTATGGTCAAACGGGGTCTTGATTAATACGACACGGAAATGTACGAAAATGAAGCCTTGTTCCATGCCACTTTCGGATGATGCTGAAGCCATCATCCCGACTCCCGAAAGAACGTCGCTGGGAGAAGTCTAGACACTCCGTGAAGTCTTGGTGAACTCGATTCATCTGGCTGCTGACGATGAATCGATGGAAGACTCAGAGTCAGGGGGCGAGCTGTAACCTCATTCGTTCCAGAGCCGTGCCGGCAAACACGCAACCTGCTCACTGTGGCACACGTGTGGCACTCGTGCACCGTACATGAGAACAGATGGCTCGGAGCACGTTGGGAGCGCGTCCAATTAATCGTCAAACTTTCAGGAACACAGCACCTCCTTGTTGCTCGACTCGCAGTTTTTTCGGGAGCTCACTCCTGCTCTGGGAATGGGTGTGTCCACCCTAGTAAACTCACTATTTGTCTGTAGATTACGGGTACTGAATGAATTTCAAGATAATAGTGGGTTTTCCCCCAGCACGAGACGTCAAGGGAATCAAGGCATACCGCTGTGTGTGATGCAACGTTTTCTTGACGACTTCAAATCCTTACAATACACACACACACACACACACACACACACGCTAGTAGTAATACTGGGAAGCAGGGCAAGCAGGGCCAGACAAACAGTGGTCATAGGCGACTTCTCCGCTAGGGCGTCTAAAGTGCATCACACCGGTAGTTAACAGTCTCGTTTTGGTGTACAGATACAATGTACGTGCGTGCATAAGTTGACAGTAAGGCTAACAAGTAACAGGTGCATGTCATGTGGTCACACCAGCTGATTTGTGCGCGAGCAGGTCTTTATATCTGGTGCTTATCTGGTGCTTATGTGAAAATAAGCAGGTATGTATGAAGTGTAGACGAGGCATTGAGATAGTTCTATTGTTTCGTTTTCAGTGAACTTTTCACGCCGGTAGTTAACAGTCTCGTTTTGGTGTACAGATACAATGTACGTGCGTGCATAAGTTGACAGAAAGGCTAACAAGTAACAGGTGCATGTCATGTGGTCACACCAGCTGATTTGTGCGCGAGCAGGTCTTTATATCTGGTGCTTATCTGGTGCTTATGTGAAAATAAGCAGGTATGTATGAAGTGTAGACGAGGCATTGAGATAGTTCTATTGTTTCGTTTGTGAGAGTTAACAGACATACTAGTAGGTGAGAATAGAGGCGATACCAGGGTAGATTGCCACCAGCAACAAAATGTTCAAATAGGTATTCGGATTTCAAATCTCAAGCCTTGCGGTATACATATATATCAGCGACATAGGCTTTCCTAAGCTCACTGGATTTATATCAATCTGTTCGTTACAACCAACCTTCCGTTTTTTCTTTCTCTTTTTCTCCTATCTCTACTTATCCACAATATCCTTTAAATACATATTATTATTCACAGTGGGTCCAATATTATAAAGTAGGCAGTTTGCCTGTTTTGATTTCCACTATAAAGACAAAGAAGGGCAGTGTTACAGAGTCATCAAGGGCGATAGCTACATTACCCTGGAACATAACAGGCGGGAGGAGGGAGAGGGAAAGCCCCACGTTGCCAAACTTCTGATGGTGGTAACAGCGCACCGTTATCGCCTCTATTCACATCACCATGCCTACACTTCACACATACGCGCAATAACTTGCACACTAGCACCAAATATCTAGACCTGCTCGTAGAGGATTCAATAGTAAAATGCTGCTGTCTGGTGATCGCAGAAAATGCAAGAAACACAAAGTTATAGCTCTACAGCTTTTCGCCTCTGTTGTGTGTGTGTGTATAGGGTGAATACAGGGAAAATATGGACAAAGTGTCTGGAGTCCTTGTTGCATGGATTCATGAGTGGCACACGTGCACCGTACATCAGAACAGCTGGATCACGTCGGGAGCGCGTTCAATTCGTCAAACTTTCAGGAACACAGCACGTCCTTGTTGCTCGACTCGAAATTATTACGGGAGCTCACAAGGCATGTGCGGGTAATGCTAGTTCCCGTAGCTATGTAGAAGACGTTGTAGTGACTTCGTACATGCATTTTTGTATACATAAATCATTTTTCGTAAAAATGGCCCCTGTATATATTTTGACGTGAAAGAAATAAACTTTCTCTTTGGCCCCAACTTCGTTGTGGTCTGGTTGGCCATTGTAGCCGTCATGGTTGACGTAAAACACCATAACGTTACTTCAGTAACGTCAGGCGCCAGCCAGGGTCCACACAGCTTTAATTTGGTGTTTGTTTGTTTGTTTGTTTGTTTGTGTCACGCCTGGCGCTATCCCGTATCTGTCCCGTACTGTACCGTACCAGCAAAGACAGCTGGCCACAATATTTTTGTTTGTTTGTGCCATCGACATGCCTGGCGCTATCCCGTACCTGTCCCGTACCATCAAGAGTACGGTACCATTAAGAGAATGAGTGAAGTGTATCGGGGGAATGCATTCAGTGCCGTAACATTTTGTGTGGATTTGTGTGCAAGGCCGAGATCCCACTAGCAGGCTACCTGAGCCGCCTGTCGACCAGCCCGGGAATCGCATGTAGGCCGATAGCACAATAATTATAACGTATATACAGTCATGTAGATGTATAGCAGGGAGTCATATTATTTAAACGACACCCTGCTGTATGGCGAGATTTTCTGGAAAGAAATACGAAGTAGGAAGACGAGTAAATGCAATCAGAATGGATGTTAGTTGCCGTCAGTATAATAATAATAATAATAATAAGACGAAGAAGAACGCCCGTGATCGGCAGAGTCAGCGCCGGCCCCAGGAAACGTCAGGACAGACATCCCGTCGACTCCAGAACGCCCGTGATCGGCAGAGTTAGCGCCGGTCCCATAGCTATGCAGAAGACGTTACTTCAGTATCTCATCGAAACGTTTTTGCAATACAATGATGTAGCTAATCAAAGGAAAAAGCATTTCCATCAGTTCTAACAACATACACGATAAGCTAGGCAACAAAGCATAGCGCAGGGCCCTGAGCTTCCAAGCTCTCTCGTAATTTGCTGCGATAATGCTAAAGGCAATGCTCATCAGGATATAATGCCACTTATAATGCTCACACTACTCCATAATGCCATGGAGTTCGAAAGTTGGAAAAGTCGATTTCAGTCTGTCCAACCTTGCCACCATTTCAAAGCAGGACACCCATATTCAATGTTTACAAAGGCAATTCTCTCCCATGTAAATGTATACACGTGTTTGGGTCCAAAGCAGGACTGTCCTGCTGAAAGCAGGACGGTTGGACAGCCTGCGATTTAAGAAGGCCGTTTGGGATCAAGGCCAAAGCGTAGAAGAAGAATAAACCTCAACAGCAGTGAGCATGTCGTCTGAAACTATCCACTGAGAAGGTTGTTTTGCAACGTCAAGTCTCCGGACGACGCCGGACGGGTTCAGATGCACGATGTTCGGAACTGGACCTAGCCAGCTTCATGCATGACACCGTTGTCGACCGGCAATTATGCTTGTAATGCCAATTTTGCATGCGAAATGGTGTTATAATGCCAGCATTATGCCACTTGGAAAAAAGGGACTATAATGCCAGCCATAATGCTAGCATTACCCACCCTTGCCTAGAGCTCACTCGTGCCCTGGGAATGGGTGTGGCCATCCTAGTAAACTCACTCTTTGTCAGTAGATTACGGGTACTGAATGAATTTCAAGATAATAGTGGGTTTTCCCCCAGCACGAGACGTCAAGGGAATCAATGCATACCGCTGTGTGTGATGCAACGTTTTCTGGACGACTTCAAATCCTTACAATGCACACACACACACACACACACACACACACACACACACACACACACACACACACACACACACACACTGATAGTAGTACTGGGAAGCAGGGCAAGCAGGGCCAGACAAACAGTGGTCATAGGTAACTTCTCAGCCAGGGCGTCTAAAGTGCATCACACCGGTAGTTAACAGTCACGTTTTGGTGTACGGATACAATGTACGTGCGTGCATAAGTTGACAGAAAGGCTAACAAGTAACAGGTGCATGTCATGTGGTCACACCAGCTGGGCTCTGCTGGGCCCTGACACCGTGCGAGTTGCTTCTACTCTCCGTGTTCACATTTTTGTTCCATCAGCCAAACCAACCCAACTGGACTCTCCTGCCGACTTCGACAAATTGCCACAGAATACCATCAGTAACGAGACACGTCAGCGGTAGTGAGCTCCTCCGTACACTTGTTTCGAGGTTAAAACTTTCCTTGGCGAAGGAAGGTATTGTTCAAGGGCGAATGGTGCTGTTTACCCTTGTTTAATCACTTTTACAACTTTTCAGCAGTACGATTGTCATTATTTTGATCCATACCTTTAAAGCAAATACCTGCGCATATTTGTAGCGCCTTCAAATTAATTATCACACCCACGGAGATACCAAGTGTTTAGTGACTTGTGCCATGTACACAAATTAATATAAGTGATTCGTTTTGATTCATACAGTACACTACAACGCGTTAACTTATCTGCACGTGCATGTCTTGCAATAAGGCCGATTTCATGCTTTCTGTGTCTGTAAAACAAGATTGAATTCCCTGAATCAAGATTAGAGTCACTCCGCGCAATTAGAGAACATAAAAGGTTTTCGGACCTGCACACACGGGTAGAAGGAAATATAATTATCATTCTTCTCTCGTGCCTTCAGTCACTGGTGAAGGCTTCAAGTTCACCAGCTTTGTTTGACAAGCCTAGGGGCACATTCAGCATGCATGACTCTCTGCTTGACACTAATTACACTTGAGGTGTCACTCACTGTGCTGTGAAATAGCTGATGAATGCAGGGAGTACTGGAGCACAGCGCAAACCAAGGAAGCGATTTTATAATTATAACACAAATTGGCGGGCATTGGGGGTAAGAGTACATTTCAAGAGGAGTATCAGATCGGGCGAATGCCAATTACAACGATGGCATTCAGCAGGAGTGCCAGTGTGCTGCGAGTGGATTTTAGAGGTAAGTTTCATTGAATTACCAAACTTGAAGAGTAGGTTGGTCTACGACCGCGATTCAGAAGGGAATGGTACCTTGTTCCAGTCCTTCAATGGGTCAGGTTTCCAGCCGCTCTGCTCAGCACAGAAAACTGGGAACGTGTGGCCTAGCACACTGGCTGCATGTACATGATGTAGGCAAATGCGCCTTAGTGAGCGTCCCGCACCCGTGCCCATAGTTGACCCTAACCCCCCCCCCCCCTCCTCACCATTAAGTGCTGTATCTGTAAGTTTCTTTGAGAAAAGAGCATAACAGCAGTGAAGCCAGACGTGGGAACAGGAGGGACGAGTGCTGCCATCTCCTTCAGGGAATGGTGGGGTTACAAACATAAGCAAACGGCCGCTACACATGCTGCAGCTTCATTTTTCAAGTGAGCACAACATGTAAGATAAAATTCTTCATTTTGGCTAGTGTAGAGCAAACCGAACAAGTCGTGGACTCTGTAAAAATAAATATGGTGGTAAAGACACACCTGGCAATATGGCAGCAAACACACGGCCGCCCACAGCTTAGAGAGCGTGTGTGGGCGGGCGTGTGTTTACCACCGTATTGCCAGGTGTGTCTTTACCTCCATATTAATCAGCCATAAGTACAGCTGCAGTGGTGTCTTCAACTTCATTCACCCAAGTCGTGGACTCGGTAAAAATATTATTATTATTATTATTTTTAATTCTGATAATGGTCTGCGACAATTCGCACACGGCACCCGGCATACACACATTCCTTGAGATCGTGGATCCACCACTGCATAATATGTATACATGTATAATTGAAGTAATATTACCTGAAGCCGAATTGAGTACCCCGAGGTTTGTATACGTGGTGAATATCAAACCATACACACGAAGCTGAAGGTAATACAGTGTATTCGATTTATACCTACGGTGACATTCAACTTCGTTTTTTTTGTGGCCATCGCCGCCCTCGTTGCCAAACTCATTTTTGGCAAATTCCAGTTTGAGATCGATAGTACAGCACAGTGTAGGACTGTACGAGTGCAAGATTGAAAACTCGCCATGAGCTGTGAGGATCACCTAGACCCCGTAGCAGCTTCTGACTTCTCTAGTCTCTAGTCGGATCAGGCAAAACACTTGACCAATCACATTGAAGCGCGGGATCAAAATTTGACCAATCATGATTAGTGTACGAGCAGGTCTATATATCTGGTGCTTAATCTGCGGACAGTCTGGTGCTTATGTGAAAATAGGCACGTATGTATGAAGTGTAGACGAGGTCAATGGTCATTGCCAGAGACTTGGGTGGCTCACACGTTACTCTCCAGTCTGCGTCCCACTCAGGCACGCTGTCCAAGGTGGCTTGGAGCTGCATGTGAAGTCGGCGATTTCGGAGGGGGCAGACAGGCACTGGTAGAGGGTCGTGTCATCCGCATAGAGAGATGATCGTCCCAATCGTTCAAGGTCTGTAACATGGCGGCAAATACACAAGCCCTCCCCAAGCCAGCTCTCTTATCTGACAAGTTACAATCGAACCCCGCATTACTATAAAAATAATTATGACACGGACGAAAAATAATGATGAACTTGGATCGCAAACTTGATTTGATCCTTGACTGCTTCCTGACTGCCATTAGGATCACACGGGAAGTCGATAAGCCCTCCACGTCCCAGGCGTGCAAGAACACACAACTGCACGCTCAGTGCCCAATGTTTACGGGAATTCATGGCTCACCAGTTGCGCTGGAGTAGGCCGGGGAAGATTTCGCGCGAAGGGCACCACGTTTCTACATGACGTGCTCTTCAGTCCGTATAACCACCGGAAAGATACACTACTACATTGTATCTTGATGTCACTGGGTATTTGTAGGGCAGGAAGCGGACTGTCTGGGTCAATATAAGTTACTAGTTAGTACACACTACTACATTGTATCTTGATGTCACTGGGTATTTGTAGGGCAGGAAGCGGACTGTCTGGGTCAATATAAGTTACTAGTTAGTGAGTCACCTACATAGGCTACAGTGCTGGCAACTGAAATCCGACCTCCTGAGCGATGCGCTCACATGGCAAAGTGCCAGGAGTGTAGGTAGGAACACGTGTTTTTGGAGTTGACAAGATTGGAAACGAACAACGGTCTAGAACACATGTGCTGCATATCCGCGAGCCACGCGTACTGACGCTGCTATTTAGTGGTTCTTGAAAAATATGAAAAATGACCTTGTGCATTGCATTCCCACCCAGAATCAAAGAAGGCATGGCTGAACTTCATGAAGTGCATTGAATGGCTTGTGCGTATGGAGAGCGCATCTCCCCCCCCCCCCCCGCCCTTCAGTTAAGGTAGGTCAGGCATCGCTGCGTGGACCTTTTGCATTCATCATTATTTTAGACTGCGTTTACACGGAGACGAAACGAAGCTAAACGAGAACGCGCTGGCCTCGAATCCTTTCAAACCGTTTACGGCAAATCGGTTTGAACCGTTCACACGAAAACAGAAAACGGTCGATAAGGCTGGAGTTAGCACCTGCTGGCTTGTCGCAAGCGCGGGAAATAACACGTTAGTTAGTTGGAGTTGGCAAGTGCTGGCCGGAGCAAGGGTTGGGTATAGTCCCCCCGCAGAATGGTTTCCATGACCGCGCTCCGTTTCCAATCGTTTTCACTGTTTTCACCGTTTACACGAAAACCAAAACGTTTTGAAAACGTTTCAAAACACTTTGAAGTGTGTTCATTTTCGGGCATTGTCGTGTAAACGACAGTAGTAAACTCAACGATTTGGTTGTCAATCGTTGTCGTGTGAACGCAGCCTTAGAAGTCAGACGAATTTTCGGGATTGCTACAATTAATATCTGGCTTAGCTGCAGATACGACTTCACATGTATGCAGTACATCATACTGCGGGTGGCACACCACTCCACTGTTTACAGGATTTCGACCCTAGATTGATCGCCTTGTATCGTGAGTAGGCCGATTGCCCATTGTGAAAAACATAATAATTATCATACCCTGAACCGTACTTCTTCAATGAAGTACATGCGTCCGCAATTCACACCAGTCCGAAGGAACAATGAGATAATTTCCGAACCGAGTGTTCGTGTTCCCTTCTTTTCATGGGCTCTTGTTGCTGTTAATTTTTGATATACGGGCAGAGAGCAGCGAGAAAGTTAGACAGGGAGAGGGCGAGAAAGAAAGAAAGAGAGAAAGAGAGAGAGAGAGAGAGAGAGAGAGAGAGAGAGAGAGAGAGAGAGAGAGAGAGAGAGAGAGAGAGAGAGAGAGAGAGAGAGAGAGAGAGAGAGAGAGAGAGAGAGAGAGAGAGAGAGGAGGGAGAGAGACAGAGAGACAGAGAGACAGAGAGAGAGACAGAGAGAGAGAGACAGAGAGACAGAGAGAGAGACAGAGAGAGAGACAGAGAGAGAGACAGAGAGAGACAGAGAGACAGAGACAGAGAGAAAGATAGACAGGCAGACACAGAGAGAGAAAAAACAAGGCGAAGGATAGAGAAGGATAGGTAGAAATACGGAGAGTGAAACAGTGATGTTAGGTGCATCGGGGAGATGAATCAGTGGTGCGTGGTGGGTGCTTCAACGCGTGGTTGGGGGTAGCAGCGAAGAACAAACTGCTGAATAATTTAGCATGGGAGATATGAGAAGCGATTTAGCAGGTCAACAGCGGCAACACGAAGAGTTCATTGGTGCACAAGCACGCAGAGAGGAACACATGACGGAGTGGGTAGACAGGCAAAGTCATACGGAGCATTCATTGCAAGGTGCAGAGGGTGGAGGCAAGGATAAATATCTGAGCAGCCTTGTTCTCCCTTACATTCCATGGCAGTGCGTTTCAGGCCAAGGCTACCGGAAAGGTCAGGCGAGATCTACTGACTTCTGATTACGTCGAGGGGACAGTGAGGCCCTTGGCGTTATTAATGAAAAATCAAAATGACTAAGGCAGGTGCTATGTGGGTAAAGATTTGAGGGAGATAACCATCGCACTACATTAGAAAAGTTAGTGTGTTAAATACGGCATGAAGACCTGTAATGCTTCACATATTCTATTATTCTGACATAAGTTACATGTTTTCTGTGTGTATATAATGACTGTGTTTGTGTGTTCACTGTGGCCATTGGATCTATTATATTTTCGGTTCTGTTCTGTACAGCATGTTGGCACATAGCGGTATTCGTGTTCTTGCAGGTCCATGTAGGAACAGGTAATTGAAATTGAGAGCAATTCTTTATGATGAAGAATGTTATGCTATAGTGACTTTGTGTTCGGTCGAGTTACCCAGTGAATCTATAATATTGATTAGCCCCATCCCTCACACAAACAAGTCAACAAAGAGGCATCTTTGGATTGAGGAGTGCTGGTTTCGAAACAACTGGTTTGAAGCTCAAAGTAGAGCTGCTGTTAGCTCAGAGCAGAGCTGCTGTTAGCTCAGAGCAGAGCTGCTGTTAGCTCAAAGTAGAGCTGCGGTTAGCTCAAAGTAGAGCTGCGGTTAGCTCAAAGTAGAGCTGCGGTTAGCTCAAAGTAGAGCTGCTGTTAGCTCAAAGTAGAGCTGCGATTAGCTCAAAGTAGAGCTGCTGTTAGCTCAAAGTAGAGCTGCTGTTAGCTCAAAGTAGAGCTGCTGTTAGCTCAAGGTAGAGCTGCTGTTAGCTCAAAGTAGAGCTGCTGTTAGCTCAAAGTAGAGCTGCTGTTAGCTCAAAGTAGAGCTGCGGTTAGCTCAAAGTAGAGCTGCTGTTAGCTCAAAGTAGAGCTGCTGTTAGCTCAAAGTAGAGCTGCGGTTAGCTCAAAGTAGAGCTGCTGTTAGCTCAAAGTAGAGCTGCTGTTAGCTCAAAGTAGAGCTGCTGTTAGCTCAAAGTAGAGCTGCTGTTAGCTCAACGTAGAGCTGCAATGCTAAATGGATGTAATATAGCGCAAGGCAGAGCCGCAGCAAATAGCTAGATAACACCAGTTGTGAGAGTGGACCCGGTTAGTGGGTACGATAATATTATGATGGTGTGAATAAGTTGGATAGGGAGGGATGGTGGGAAAAGAAACACTGCTGAAGCACGATCCGTTGTCTGGAACAGCACAACAGGGCAAGCAAGATTTGTTTTTCTTTTCCGCAAAAATGGGCTGGTGCCATTTGTGATTACGCAGCAAAACAAAGCGCATGACGTCAGTCTTGAATGCAGTACAAAGCAATGCAGTGCAGTGTGTGCGCTAGTTCGGATTGTTGCTAACAAGTACTAGCACAGCTAGTACACCATTAGCCCCATCCCTCACACAAACAAGTCAACAAAGAGGCATCTTTGGATTGAGGAGTGCTGGTTTCGAAACAACTGGTTTGAAGCTCAAAGTAGAGCTGCTGTTAGCTCAGAGCAGAGCTGCTGTTAGCTCAGAGCAGAGCTGCTGTTAGCTCAAAGTAGAGCTGCGGTTAGCTCAAAGTAGAGCTGCGGTTAGCTCAAAGTAGAGCTGCGGTTAGCTCAAAGTAGAGCTGCTGTTAGCTCAAAGTAGAGCTGCGATTAGCTCAAAGTAGAGCTGCTGTTAGCTCAAAGTAGAGCTGCTGTTAGCTCAAAGTAGAGCTGCTGTTAGCTCAAGGTAGAGCTGCTGTTAGCTCAAAGTAGAGCTGCTGTTAGCTCAAAGTAGAGCTGCTGTTAGCTCAAAGTAGAGCTGCGGTTAGCTCAAAGTAGAGCTGCTGTTAGCTCAAAGTAGAGCTGCTGTTAGCTCAAAGTAGAGCTGCGGTTAGCTCAAAGTAGAGCTGCTGTTAGCTCAAAGTAGAGCTGCTGTTAGCTCAAAGTAGAGCTGCTGTTAGCTCAAAGTAGAGCTGCTGTTAGCTCAACGTAGAGCTGCAATGCTAAATGGATGTAATATAGCGCAAGGCAGAGCCGCAGCAAATAGCTAGATAACACCAGTTGTGAGAGTGGACCCATGAAACCAGCACTCCGTTAGCTAAGCACTATTGACGCACAGCAAGGGTCAATTAATGTCAGCACAAGCAAGCATTGCGCAGCTAGAGTTCAGTAGCTCATTACTCACCCGAGTTCGGGATCATGGCATCCATGGCACGGCAGCAAGCCGGGACGATAGCTGGCGCTATGCGCTTGTTGTAGTCTGGATGTAGCATAGACACGCATCGCTCTTTCCACTGACCTGCCACTCGGAAGAAGGAGTCGGGGGCACTAGCCATAGCAGCGGTGGTGGCTGCACCAATGTGGACCGAATGCCCGGAGTAGTTCGACTGGGATGGTACACCGGCCGCAGCGACAAGAGACCATACTGTTACTGTGAATGACTGCCTGGTCAGCTGCTGTCTGTTCGAGAGTACGAACAAGAGTTGCTCCGGCCCCTCGCGACGAGTGACAAATGGGTAGCTAACAATGGCACGGACCGGGCAGTACGGCGGTACAGACGGGCCAATGTCACTAGTAACGAATTTCCCGAATGGGTCCGTCTTGGATGAAAGCAGGAAGAGTTGCAGGCGTCCGTCACCAGGGGAGCTAGTACAGCCCCGTGTGATGCCATTAGTGAATTCAGCGCACCGAAGAAATCCAAAGAAGCAGCATGGCGGCTTGGTAGAGCAGCTTGTCATGGCCATTCAGGATATTACTTTTCCGGCGTGCATCCGTCAGGTGTCGTAGGATTGGCATAGTTATAGGAAGGCGAGGGGTGAGTGAAGCCGTACCATGGCATCGCTGGATGCCCTTCAACACCCTCTTCAGAAGCCACGCATCTACTAAGGGGCCGGCAAACCCATTCTTAAGGTGGGCTTTATGCACCGCACTCGCATACACAGATACAGTTCAGGGCACGCTGATCATAGTTCATGCATGAATGTGTGTCCAGGAACGATGACTCGGGCAGCAAAAGTGAGCTTCCCCAGGAGGGACTCGAGTTGACGCTGGCCGATGCTGCGCTCGCTGATAGTAGCCATGAGGGGCGCACGGATCTCGGACAGCTTGTCCTCTGGTAGCCGAGCTTCGTGGCGCTCGCAGTCTAGGACAATACCAAGGAAGGTCAATGATGGTGATGGCCCTTCGAGCTGGGATGGAGCAAAGAGGAGTGCCGAGATACGTGAACGCCCGGAGGGGGATGGTGAGTTGCTGGTTGGCTGCAGCCAAACCAGTGGAGATATCGAGAAAGTCATCGAGGTAGTGAAGCCGGTGATCTATAGCAAACTCGTGCTGCATGATCCAGTTGACTGCTGTGGCTACTGAGTCAGAGACGGCTGGGCTGGAGCGGAGGCCGAAAGGCAGAAAGCGCTCGTAGTAGTAGGAGCCTTCCCAGCGAAGTCCTGACGGCGGACTGGGATCTGCCGAAATGCACTGCGTACATCAAGCTTGGACAAATACACAGGCTGTGGGCATAGCATGATGATGTTGATCGCGTTGTCAATGCTCGCGTAGTGCAGAGAGAGCGGCTCGGCAGGAATGCTGTCGTTCGCGCCGGTGCCCTCCGGACTAGACAGATGGTGGATCATTCGCGGCTTGCCGTTCTTTTTGGGGATGGCACCGATACCAGAGCGGCGCATGAACTGAAATGGAGGTGACGAAAATGGGCCTGTGGTCTCGCTGCGGGCGCAGGAAGCAGCTAATTGCTCGGATATAAATGCCGAGTGAGTGAAAGCCAATGGTAGATTATTAGAGAAAACCGAAATGTCGTGTTGGCCGGCAGATCCAAGAGTAAAGCCACGGCGCAGGCCATGGAGAACATACGCAACACATGATTGATCTGAGTGGTTACGTAACAGGCGGGCAAAGTGGTCAGCTAGCAGTGTGGTGTCTGCAGAGTGTATAGGAAAGAAGCTACGTACCGAGTCAAGCGATTCAGTAGCCATTCTGCTAGGAGCGGCGGGGTGGCCGATTGGCTCCGCGCTGCTGCTGGTTGCACATGATGCATGGGTGGTCCTTGCCACACTGGCTGCAGGTGTGGGAGAAGCGGCACGACGACGAAGAACAGCGACCTCTATTGAAGTTGCGGCAGATTTCTTGGCCGTCGCTGGTATGGTTGCGACCACTGGAGGTAAATGTGCTGGCTTCGGGACGAAAAGGACACAAACCGCCCCTGGATGGACAGTCTTACATTGAGCGCATTTTGGGTGTGCATGGCCTGTGACAGCTATCTGCCATAGGTTCACGTCGATGGTGTCCAACCTCTTCGTGCCTGGTTACTGGGCCACGAGCATCCGCAGCTGGCGGTCGTACTCTAGCCACGCGCTTGGGGAGAACTGGCAGTTAGCAGTCAGGATCAACTGCTGGTACGCAATCAGTTCAGCAGTGCGGTGTAGGGCAGCAGCCGTGATAACAGACATGTATGTGGTCCATGCCTCGAGCCAGGTAGCTACATGTGTAATTATCGTGAACCTTGCGACGCACCTGCTTCGCGTCATCCGACTCAACGATATTTAGCTGGCTATCGTTATTCGGGCTGTGCACCGGCCGGAATGTTGGGCCGGAAGTGTGCAAGAATTTCAGGCAACAAACTTGAAAATCTACGAACTCCCCTCGCAAGATACGTTCTTGCACAGCCTTGGGCACAGCTGGTGCAGGTGGCTGATCGGGTGGGTTACAGGAGCTTGGCCTGGCGTAGTGGCGGCAGCTGCCGCATTGCCTTGGCCTTGGGTGAGGAGCGGCACAATGCTCTCCGATAATAATAAAATGGCGGCCGACAAAGCCGACTACACCTCGTCCCGTACGGGAGCGCAGAGATCCGTTGAGCCCGCGTCACCTGAGCTGGCGGAGGAGGCATTGGTGCACGTCGGGCTTCTGGGCTCGCGAGCCGTGTCCGCACTGTCATGTTGCTGGTTCTCCTGGCCGGAGCAGACCTCACTACCAAGGGCTAGTTGTGCCAGCAAACGGTCCTGTAAAATACTTTTACTAAGTTTCCTTTCGGATTCAAGCCGCGCTGAGAAGGCTCGCCGCGGAGGGCTTGGCAAGGCATTGCCTTGACAGTGTCGACAGTAAGGTCAGACATGCTGAAGAAATACAGTGTCGAGGTGACACTCGGGCTGGCAGCAAAGCTACGAAAGGAAAAGAAACACTGCTGAAGCACGATCCGTTGTCTGGAACAGCACAACCAAAAAGAAACACTGCTGAAGCACGATCCGTTGTCTGGAACAGCACAACAGGGCAAGCAAGATTTGTTTTTCTTTTCCGCAAAAATGGGCTGGTGCCATTTGTGATTACGCAGCAAAACAAAGCGCATGACGTCAGTCTTGAATGCAGTACAAAGCAATGCAGTGCAGTGTGTGCGCTAGTTCGGATTGTTGCTAACAAGTACTAGCACAGCTAGTACACCATATGCTCCTCGACATTCGTCTTGTTGAGCTCTCTCGGTACACTGCTCTAGTGCTGCTGCATTACGCATTGTCCGCTACTTTCATAGTAAGGGCACTCTAGCGTTAGAGTCTGAGAAATGAACTGTTTGTGGTGCCTCCTTTGCTCCATGGCTGGCTTGTGTTGCTTGATAGGAAAGGGCACACGAGAAGTCCATCGAACCTTCACCTTGGCAAATCGGCAAGATAGCACCCCCCCCCCCCCCCCTGTTCAATACACAGTGGTTCGGGGAATTCACTACTGATCACTTGAGCTTTAATAAGGATGAGGCAGAATGTGCCCGAAGAGCATGACTTCAGTGATGCTCTTCGCAACCACTATTTCGTACTATTGTTTAATCCTTGTGGGAAAGATGCTGGCGACAAATGCATTCCTGACTGCGCGCGCATTCTAAGCTACATTGTCCGTGACCAGGCCAGCGGAGTCACGAGACTGTTTGATGTCTTCAAGCAATTGCAGGTAGAAATATGCCCACCCCCTACCCTTCTCTCCCACCGCGCCACTCAGGGAATGTCGAATCGGAAACCAACACAACTGTATTTGAGGATACAATGGATACTTTCTCGAAGAATGTGGATCAACTTATGCCGTTTAAAACTAGAATTGAGCTGGCATCGCTCCACTGCAATCTTGTATACGTCCTTGCAGGTCAATATCCCGTTCTCGTTGCTGCTGGTACAGGACAAGGAACGCCATTCATAATGACATTTGGCGATGGGCAGTCTACCGCTGACGTTCTCAGCTACATGCCGGTGTGTATTGTGACCAGTGGATCAGCACCGTTCATTCGACTAGAGAAGACTGATGGTAGCCTGGTGCTGGGTGTGACCGGTTCGTTCACTGGTTTTGGCAGGGCCCCTTTGAACACCACAGCACACCCTTCACTCAACGCATCATACACTGGAGTGTACCATTGCCGAACCGACGCCCGCTACTCACCACAGTTGTACCAGCTCAATGTTGTGGGTAAGGTTAAGTTTGAGATGTTACTCATGTTGTCCATCGAGTCTAGCTTTTTAATGATACCGTGCATAGCGCATCAACTGTGCATTCACCCTCTACAACTCACTCCCCATCGACATCACAACCCAGCATCGTAGAAATGCTTTCCAAAACAATGCATCTAGTCTTCCTTTGAGCAGTACCTGTTCCTGCTCGGTGCACCCCCCCCCCCCCCCACTGGTTTCTGATATCTCTTATGTGTATTAACCCTTTGTGGGTCTTACTCAATGTATGTGAGGGGTGGTCACGCAAACACGCGTACAAACAACGAGCCATAACTCAAGTTCCGTGAGTTGTAGGTATGGGTAAACTATATATTTTCAAAATCTGTATGCCTGGACGCTTCCAGAAAACACAAATATGACTATGTCCAGGCAAGGATATGACCCGTGGTAGCCCTGCAAGTTGAGAGAAAATACTATTGCGAACAAAAAAGCACAAAAATCACAGCACGAAGTGCATACCAAGTTCGTGAAGGAGCTGAAGTCCTTTGATAAACAATCAGGTAAGCGCTACGTCTTGGTGAAGAATATATGCTCCTAATTCCGTCCTTGAACTCCAATACCTCGTCATCGGCGATGCACCAGCAGCAACAGTTCCACAATATCACAATTTTGGTTCGTTCACCTCAGCGCCGCTCGCGTCAGATTCACTCTCGCTCAGATGACTACTCAGGCGCGATGTCACGCGTGCCGTGATTCTCACGGCCAGGCGAATCAGCTGATCGCACCTGACAAGTCCTTGTAAGAGTTGCTGTTGCTGTGCTTCCTCGCTGGTTGGTAAATTTGATTTCTTCATTCGGGGACGATGTATTTGAGCTAGGAGGACTCAACGGAGCTCTCTTTCTCACGACATTACACTGGAAATCCTCCAGGGACATCCAGCCTAGACTGGTGCCGTCAGTGTCCTCAGGAAGCTTTTCTGACACGGCTTCAAGAGATGCACTCCCATTCTCGAAATGCGCGCATGGCGGATGGTCGTCTTTTCCAATTTCACCAGACTTCAGTCGATCGATACTGCAAAAATTTGTATGGTAAGTATGGTTGTTTTTTACACCGTTGGAAAGCCTGGGACCTCAGCTACGAGTGGAGCACCATTTTAGTTGTCTCCTAGCAACAAAACTCACAGAAAATGCGATTTTACTGTAAGGGTCACATACGACCCTTACGCTTATGTGAGACCCATAAAGGGTTAACTCGATCATCCCGCTTGTTTTGCATGATACATTGCTTCTTGCCTTCCCGGGTAATTTCCAGCTAGCTGTTTCTCGCTAGTATCAGTTCTATCACACTTATCAATCGTCCTTATTGGCGTCACTAAATCATGGAATGAAAGAATAACACCATTGCTGTTCTCTTGCCCCCTTTTGTAGCTCGACAGATTCGGTCTTCATTCCCTACGTCACTGCCACTAGTTTACATGGATGGCAATCACACCATATCATGCATGTCAAGTGGCAATTTCCCTTTCAAATTATCTTGGAACACAACACTATCTCCGGATTCTGAGCTGATTTGGACAATGACATCGGCGAATATCGTACATTCGACATTCAGCTTCAAGCTGAACGACCCACAGTTCGTAATAACAGAGCGTGATACGTCCGGTGTTGCCTTCAACGTAACCTGTAAGACCTGGTATACTACACACTTCGACTGCGTTGCAGCGGGCTCAATTCCTGCACGACCTCACGATGTGATTCAAAGGTGCTTAAATTCCTCCCAGCCAGTATCTACGATTGTTTCTGTCACTATTCAAGGTACGCATACTCCAGAATTTCTCACTAGAATAACGAGGACGAAAGTTCTTTGACGGGCTATAGGGGAGGGTAGCAGCACCCAACTTCATTACGTCAACCGCACTGCAAATAAGAGAACTATTTTTGAAAATGAAGTATTGAACAACAAAGGCAATCACACTTTTTAAGTAGCGTCAAAAATGCCTTAATTGCACTGGATGCTCGGTATTACGCTCTGCTTCCGCGGTGTTGAGCACTGTCAGCACACTGAGTGCATCCTCAGCTGAAAATGAAGCCCCCGTTTGGATTTTGTGAAGTAAAACAAAGAAAAGAAAATAATAATAAAAAGCACGTGTCATGTACTAGTGTAGGCTGCCAAGCGGAATGGGATATGGTTGTTATAACGATAATGTGAAAACTCTGCTTCCACTTTTTTCACTATCCTTCTAATTCTGCAGCACCACGCTGTAGCGCACTACACACTCTCAACCTGAATGTGAATGTGACGTCATCAACACCTAGCAAGAGAGGTAGCATTGTGAATGTGCAGTGCATTCCTCCATACAATCTAACCAATGGAGTGCAGCAGGTCACGTGTTTGGCAAACGGATTTTGGACAGTTCTCCCGACGTGTGTTGGTATGTATGATACACATGTTAGTCTGAACGCCTTCGTGTACTCTTCCTCTTCCGGCTCCCTGTTTTTCTTATTCCATCTCTTCCCTGTAGTAGTAGTATTCTTTTATTCATAGTGGAGAAACCAAAACAGGCAGATGCCTAATAACAGTGGATCCCCTGTGTAGGGTGGAGGAGGGGGAGACATGACTAATGGTAAAATAGTGGCGGCGAAATAGAGCAGTTCCAGCACAGCTACAGAAACATGGGCGTAAAGCTAAAAGCAGGCAAGAATGTGTTGCAAAGGGCTTGACTTGAAGGCGGCCAGTTTGGTGACGCGTCGGATATCCACATGGAGGGAACTCCGGAAAACTGCGCCAGCATGTGCTACCAATTTGGTAGAATGTGCAGAAGCAGCTGCAGGGACGATAAGCAGGTTACTGTTGCCTCCTCGAGTTCTTCGTGACGGAAGAGCCTGTACTGTATACACTTCATTAATGTTGTATGCGGCGGATGCGGACCCCCCCCCCACCAGTCCTTCCAACCTCTACAGATTTCTGAAATAATGAAAGTGACCCGATAACCCGATTTACATTCAGAAAATTGGAGAAATTCAAAGAAAAAGCACAGAACTGAGTTGATATTCCCTCACATATATATTAAACCAAGGTGTCAGGGTGAAAACGTAGAGAGTTAAAAAGTTAGCAAGACATTGTAGTGTCAACTTTTCAGACTCCCTACCTTTACACCTTCTGACAATATGTGATTGAATCTTCCATCACTGCTGTGTTGTTAAATTTAATGACATTTTTTTCACAACTCAGTCCCCTTGTTTGCTTTCATTGTGGTAAGCCTTTTCTGATGGTAGATATTATTGAAATATTGAAAGGGCTAAAATATGTTGTCGCGTTGCTCTGTGTCTGTGAATGATCGCGTTTACATTTATCTTATTCCTTTTAAAAACATTTAAACCTTTTCTTATCAGCGGTGTTGTATCGGCGTTATCACGATACAGAAAACTTTGAGCAATGTCACAAATTGCTAGACCTCAAGACTCTATAGAAAAACCGGTCAATGTCAGCAGAGTGTGTGGTAGCGAACTAAGACAATACAAATAAGTAGGTGGTAGGCGGGAAAACGTAAGATTGGCAACAGCATCAGCACCAACAACTCTGTGGCGGAAAAGGACGACACTGATGTGCCAGTGAAGAGCACGAGAGACGTAAAGGATAGGTCGATAACGAGCTAGGTCGTATCATGTAGAAGGGGTTACATGGATCTTGAAAAAACCGAGAGAATGACAATGTGCTGGGTGGTATATTAAGTGAACTGAGGTTCTCTAGTCATTTTCCCAAATAATAGTAACTACGAAAATTGCGGGTCACCCGGGGCTGGCGTCATGATAGCAAAACACCTCGAAACCCAGCTGAGCAACATAATTAATTGCGTAGAATCTCCGGCAGAGCCTGTGGCTTTTCTAGTGCTCAGAGAATTAGGCACCCCGTGCCAAACATATAAGAGTAGAAAGTATTCTTTGCTTGCACTTGAGCTGTACTCGACCGAACCGGTCAGTAGTTATCTGTTTTTTTCTTTTTTGTACAAGAGGGATTCTTGTGTTTTCCGCTTTCAAACTTTGCATACAGTGACGCACTGCGCCTCTGTGAACCACTCCACGATCACCTACCTGCCTAGAACACCAATTGGAGCCTCTGCTGTTACAAAATGTCGTGAGCCCTACAGCGGTATAACTGGCCCAAACAACGTGCAGTGTATGGCTGCAGGTATCTGGAGTACGCTCCCCGCTTGCCCTGGTACGTGCTTTTTCTTTAATTTAATTAATTAAAGCCGAACTAGCATACGAACGGTTTAAAAGTTACCAGATTTTGTCAAACACTGGCAATTGTAAGCTTGATAGTGATGGGTCATGATGTGTATATTCAATGACCTGACGATCAGTTCCAGTGCGGCTCGGATAACTTGGTATCTTGAAACCGATGGTTCGCAGCGTTTGTTCTCTACCTCCATACGTGACGCAGACTTGCGCTGACGTCTGGATTTGGCGAGGTGTTTATCGCGCTGGAAACGGTGTGTCACATGTCTTTCTATTATATCATTTGCACAGACATTGATGAATGCATAACTGGAGATCATAACTGCTCTGAGAAATGTACTAACGCTCAACCTGGATATGTATGCAATTGCTTCAATGGAACGGCGGGATGCTTTGGTGAGATTTCATTTTCCTAGTTACTATTAAGGGGGAAGACTACCCATCAATTTCATAATTATGGCATTCAATTGACCGTAACTTATTGTGGAGAAAAAATCACCGTAGCTTTGATCAACTGATGAACTGGTGATCAAACTACAATGAAAGCTGACATGTTGGAACGAAACAGACAGCATTAGTCATATTGTTCCTCAACTATGCGAGCTAGAACGTGTCCCCACACTGGCAAATATGATGGCATTTTATGGCGCGCACAAACAAGTGAAGCACTGAAGTGAAGCAAGTCAAGCACTCTGCCACAGGGCGTTGCTTACAGTTGGGTTGAAGCTGGTTCTTGGCTAGGTGTTCAGCCACCGCTAATGTAATCTTCCTTGAGGCTGTCAGCCGCTTCTTATCTTCGACTTGCTCCTTCATCAGTCTGGAAATGGCTGGCTCGCCACTTTGTTTGAGGGCCCAGACGAAGTGCATCATCACCATCCCACTATCAGCTGCCCGCACTGCAACTGATTTGCAGAAGCATGTTGCTTAGGCCAACGGTTGAAGAGTGGCCAGTCGCTTTTGCTGATGTTCTGCAAACTCCACCCCGAACATGCTGATGCAAAATGTGACAGAGTGTTTCTGAGACTGTTACAGGATACTAGAATCAGGGTTAGCGTCCACAATTTCAGCTAGGGCCGCAACATCCGCAACAGCATCGTGAGCAGCGAACTCATTCCCAACGATGAACTATAAATCGATGTGAGGCTGTAGCTTGGGAGCTCCGGTAATGCGGTTTAGGGATCAGAGTGTTAACCCGGCACAAAAATGCACACCATTGACACACCCACACGTGCACACACAAACACGCACACACACACATACACACACACACAAACACACACACACATACACACACACACGCCCCCACACATTTACACACGCACACACACATACACACACGCGCGCCCACGCGCACGCACACACACGCACACGCACACATGCTCTCACATGAAATAGCACACACACACACACACGCACCTTGCACACATACATTCACGCACGTGTACGCACCCGCCCAAATGCATGTGTACACGCATGTGCATGAGTGGAGATGCCCCCATACACATGTCACACTAACATGCCCTGGGAGTAGTCATGCACGTGTGTATAGTATGTATGCGAGGACACGTCCACATGAACTCATATGCATGTGCATGCTCATACATGCGTATGTTGCACACATGCACAAACATGCAGGCCTATGCAAACACACCCACGCACGCCCGTGCGCGGCGCGTACAGTGTGCTCATACATTTCCATAGCCCTAGGGTGGCAATGACTCGCAAATATCATGAATAAATCTTATGAGATTGAAAAACACACTTACCCAAAGCAGCTTTGGTGTTGTTTGTGAAAGCACAGGGCCAGGGTGTTGAGCAGTTACACGACAATGGTTATCTATAAAATTCTCCATGTCACTCTGCTGACACGGAATGACGTTGAAGAGGGGCACTGAACGGCCTCTTCGCGGGAGTCGAATCCAGTGGCGTTGGTGTTGGAGATCGCCTTTTCTGTTTTTCAGGAACTCGATCGATCAATTGACCTTGTGAAACGTCCCCTCCTCGGCGTCTTGAATCGTTCATTACGCAGACTGCGAGGCCGCGTCGTGGGTGACGGATCACTCTCCCACGTCTTCATCTCCACGACACGTCGGCAAGAAAACCAAGCTATCCAAAAACCGCCGATGTCAAAACAAATCCGCCAGTGCACTAGTGGCTGAGCTTCTTCCTCAGATCTTGTCTCGACTCGAGCTAGCACCCGCTGTGAGTTCAGTGGCCAAACTACTCACTCGCTTGAGCGCGTCCCATTTTTCCACTCCGAAAAGCATTATTTTTCAAAAATAAATCGGAAATCTAAAACGGCGCTTACCGTCGGGAACCACCTAATAGCCTTGTCACACGACGGTTCGTGCTCACGATTTCACGATACCATGGTTCTACGATTCACAGCAAGACACTTCACACGACGACTAGCTCTGCCGACACGGCGCACGCGAGTCGGTCACGATTTGACTGTTGCCTAGGTAATTGTAATGGAGGCACGTGTTTTGATGGAAATAAATCAAAATATTTTTTTATTTTCATGCCTCCCGGGAAAAATTCAAACTCTCTTTGCCTGATGTTGGAGTAGAACAAGACTGAAAAGACGACTTTGTTGCTTTGGCGTTCTTGACTGGATTTCTGGGACCAAGGATTTGACAAAGCTGCGTAGCTTTGCTCTATTTTTGCTGTTCGTTTTCCGTGGCCTTGGGCAACTGGGTCCGGACAGGGCAATCGGCTCACAATCTACAGGGTTTGGAGTGCCTCGTTCGATTTCCCAAATCCTTTTGGCCGTTCAGCCGTTTTGTTGCTTTGTCTTCTTTCGCTGCTCGCGTCATCATCATTTTATCAGTCGATTCAAGTAGGGAGCAGTAGATTTCGATAAGCATCCTTTCGGATTCTGGGCTGAATGTCCGGGTGGCCATTGTTCAGAAAGTCGGACCTGTGCTGCTGTTCAGGAAACGCTCAGTGAGAAGACGCGATCGCGAACACAAGCCAAACCAGTACAGGAAACACGAAATCGAAAACGAAAACGCACAGCCAGGGGGTCAGGATGTCGCGGGCAGACCGTCGGGTCTACGGATTCAGATTTCCCGTCATTTGATGATCGCCTTGGTGATCCGCCCGCGAGCCCGAACAGACGTGACTTTGTCCCGTCGTGTGAAAGGCCTATTAGGAAGTTGTTTTATGGCAGCAACAGTGACAATGGTTGGCGACTTTTGGGTGATGTGTAAATATGTCTGTCATTACCATAACTTGTGGAAGAATTTGTGCACTGTGTGTGTGTGTGTATGTATGTGTGTGAGTGTTGCTAGAAGTGCGTATTTTTCTGCTTTGTACTCACGCTAGTAATCCTGCACTATCACTGCACTATATTTTCACTTCATACGTATCACACAGAATTATCATCTCGCTTCCTGTGGTATTGCAACATTTTACGCTATACCATCACACTTTGGCCACTAGTACTTGTCACATATATATAAACCCCTATTCTGTCTACAGTAGACTTATTCCTGATGATGGGCCTTGCCCGAAAATTTGATCTAATGTATATCAATTGCAGTGTAGCCTAGAGACCGTTAGAGAGAGTGTGTACAAGGTGTGTGTACAGGTTGTATGGATATTCTGTGCTTGTTCAACACCACTCTTTGCTTGCCCTCCATATCAACCTTCCTGTTTTCTTACCCAACCAGTGACACATTGTGCAGCTGTGAACCAGTCAACAGTGGGCTATATAGAGAGGCGTGCCATTGGTCAAACTGCCACTGTGGAGTGTCGCCGTGGATACGACAGCTTACTGGGGCCAACAGCAGTTACATGCATGGCCAGTGGAAAGTGGACTGAGCTGCCTACATGCCACGGTGAGCATTCTCAAAAACATTGGTCGTACTGTACTTCATCGGAAGAGTTATTTAACACTGACTCGCCAGTATCCCGGGCAACCTTTGTCTTGTTGTCCAGTGTCACTTCAGTTGCCCTCTTCCCCTGATTATTAGTAGGGCTGTGTTTGCTAGTAAAAAAAATAATAATAAAAAACTGTATAGTGGAAATCACCCCGGCTTTCACGGAAAATAGCAAATCATCTCTTCCTAAACACCCAATTATGATCAGGTTTTTCTGTTGAACTCTCGAGGAGGCGGACTATCATTACATTTTCCAAAGATATGTGCAGAAAATGGATGTTGAAGTGCCGTGGGTTATATAGTCGCGGGTCTGACTTTTCTGCGTGAACTCAGTTCCCAAGTTTGTACGAAGATCAGCCATGCAACGATCTGTCTGCTTTTGAAGATGACTCTTTGTTGGTGGTTTTTATTATTTATTACGTGTTGGACCCATCCTGATAAAAAAAAGGCGAGGTAGGGGAAGTAGCCACCGGTAGGCACAATTTGGTATGAGCGCAAGGTGTTGTTCTTTGCTTTAAGTTTTAGGAGGTCCTTGGTGTTTTTCCTGCGCCCGTGCTGAGGATTGCGTTCAACAACAGACAGCAATAATAGCATTCGAAAGGAACGATTTGATTTTCCTGATTTGCTTGCATGCCCAACTTTCTGTTACCTCATTGCTTGTTGAATGCGATAATGATAACGCGCCTATCTGTTCGTCCACTTCAGTTGGTACCTATACACCAACCGACGTTACTAGTGCGAGTCTGATTATATTTCTTGCAGATATTGATGAATGCTCCATGGAAGAGAAGCCGTGTGCCCTTTATTGCACAAACCTCACACCCGGCTTTATGTGCACGTGTGTAAACGGGACTGTCGGGTGCTTCGGTAAGCGAACAGAATCTCCAAAAGATTCTTCAATCTGGTAACCAAATCTGGGAACATCTTATTAAAGGAATGGAAAGGAAAGATGGAAAGTGCCCCAAATAGGTTTTAAAAGAATTGCAACGCGCAAATCGGGTTTATTTTAAAAATATTATACCCCACCCTGACACCCTGACACCCTGACACCCTGACACCCTGACACCCTGGCACCCTGACACCCTGACACCCTGACACCCTGACACCCTGACACCCTGGCACCCTGACACCCTGACACCCTGACACCCTGACACCCTGACACCCTGACACCCTGCCACCCTGACACCCTGACACCCTGGCACCCTGACACCCTGACACCCTGACACCCTGGCACCCTGACACCCTGACACCCTGGCACCCTGACACCCTGACACCCTGACACCCTGGCACCCTGGCACCCTGACACCCTGACACCCTGACACCCTGACACCCTGACACCCTGACACCCTGACACCCTGGCACCCTGACACCCTGACACCCTGGCACCCTGGCACCCTGGCACCCTGGCACCCTGGCACCCTGACACCCTGGTTTTTTAGTTCCAACCAAGCAAGCACAGGGGAGGGGGTTGACTGAAGGGGTACATGACGGAGGTACGAGAGGTATCTAGTTCGAGTCCCGCTAGAGAACGTGTTTTCCAGCCCTATACTGCTACCCACAATCAATTATGAACTTATTCAAAGGATACAAGGATATGGCTAACGAGTAACGACGCATTCAGATGGACTTGTGAGCGTGAACGAGTTTGGCAAGAAACACGCTGGCAAATTGTGGCAATACACTAGTGACATTCGCACGTGCATTCCAGCGACTCCGTGAGAAAGTCAAACGCCATCGGGACAGTGGATCTCTATAAACTTCTCTATTATCGGAATGGTTCGGGACGGGATTCTTCTCCTGCAGCGCGTCACGTGGTCTGTGGCTGTGGTAACAAGTGACAAGAACGCGGATCACTGCTGGGCTATCTAGAATGTCGTTGGCCAATCTGTGTCCACTATTGCCCACCCTGGTACCCTACGTTATATCTGATGGTTACCTCCTGGCTGAAACTGACGTGGAAACAATCGTAGTGCGTGGTTTAGGCAGTAGGTGCATTGTTAGTAGGCATACGCTTGTTTTGATTTCCACTATAAATAAAGTATACAACTACAGACCTGGTCTGTCTGTGTGTTATAGGTTAAACATTTGGTGGAAAGATGACAGGGCTATAGTGGTGCTTCGACCTTCGAAGTTCTCAAGATTTCTCCTTCTTGTAAATCTCTCTAAAGTTACCGAGATCCAGACAGCACATGTTTTCCTTCAAGTCTTAGAAATTATGCTCCGACTTAACTGACGCAAGTGAACACGTTAAAACGTTCGTGCGTCGCTGGAAAAGAAGCTACAGGTGCTCCCTGGTTATAATGAATTCGGTTAGTACGTAAACACCGTTAGTAAATAAAGTTCTGAGTTCACCTGGCAAAACATACAACTGTTTACAGGTCCGGTTACAACCTAAATCGTTAGTACGTGAAGTCGGTTATAACGACGCTTTGCCCAGGCCCCTGAAGTACCACACCCTCTGTATAAGTTAGTATTGACCATGCAGGATCAATGCGAAAACACATAGAATAATCAGAAAGACACGATGTATTCTATCTATGGGTTCGTAGATCCGTGCGATCTTTTGCGTCAACAGAAGAGCTATTTTCGAGATTTTCAGTTATCTTATAACGAGTTGAAGTGTCCATAAGGGTACTCATAAAGACTCGAATTAGTGCCTATCTCGCATTTAGCTGCAAGTTCTTTTACAAGATTAGTAGAATGTTATCGCATGGTTGCGATGATTTTACTTCAAATATAGACTTCGAGCTAACCTCTCGGGGCAATAGTATTCCATACGGCCCGCAGTAACCATGTGATAACAAATTTATCGCATGGCCCACAGAGCAGACCATTGGGCGGCTGTTGAAACTAGCCCAAATGCCAACACAGTTGACCAAAATGCATATTGCTGTGGTATTATTATTAAAACAGGAAAATTGAAGATATTTCCCCTACACCCTAACAAAAAGTCTGCTACAGTGCGTCAGAGAGTATTACAGTACTGAACAACGGAGACGGAAAAAAGAGACGGCACGGCATCGTCATAACAATAGACATGGCAACCACAACTCGATAGGCGAAAGCCTTTGGGGAATCCTTTTAAAACAATAATAATTACAATAAAACACAGTAGAATCATCATTTTCAGTTGATAAACTAAGAATTGCACAGCAAAGAGTTTCTTCATGGTTTACATGTGTACCAGGAAGTCGTCCAATACAGTGCTGCAAGTACATGTATTTGACAACACCGTAGTATGTAATACTGTGCACAATTGTTATTCTTATTCCAGCTCCAGATAGCTGTATACTGCGAATCGTACAGCGTCGACTAATCACACAGTCACGAGCTAACTGAAATAAACAATTTGCCGGCAAATACACAAATTGTTTGCGGGCAATATCGCATAATATTGCCCGCGGCGGGAAAGGTTCTGGTTCGCTGGAGTACGGACAATAACCATGTGCCATGTGATAAGTCTTGTTATACATCCCTGGCTAGATGCCACCAGGGTCTCTTACGTCCAAATTCGAAATACTTTGAAAACAGCTTTCCATTCAGGTACCGTATGTGAGTTATCACAACCTTTAAATGTACTATTCTCTTTTCCTTTCATTGTGCTCAGCCCAACAGCATGATAAGATGTGCAACACGGAACAACCGATCACCATTGAGATTTTCGTCGGAGCGTTGGCTGCAAGCCTGTTATTTGGTTCCCTCATTACATTTCTGCTAACACGACGCGTGTGTGGCGCATCCCATCTGGACACCAAAGGATCGGAGATACCGCCAGAGAGTACACGCCATGACACGCCAAACATTGCCTACGAAAATGCGGAGATAGGGGAGACTGTAATGACGAGCAGCGAGGCATACGTAGCCGTTGGGGCGGGAGATACGGCTACCTACCTGGCTGTTCTGCCATAAAATTTAGACAGCAGAGTGTTGTTTTCTCATGGGAAAATTCATCATTGATATGTGCATGCTAGAGATTGAAACGTGAGATTCACTGCTAAACAGTGTAGAAGTAATTTCCGTGAAACTCATCTGCAGTTATTTCCTAGAAAATATAACTTCATGCTGGAGCTTGTACTAAATATTTGTTACTTTGAGGCGTCCATACGAATCTGATTGCGCGTCTCGCACTGTGTATCTGTCTGCAATAACATTATTCGCTGTGATTTCTTACTTCTATAGTCTAAAATTTAAAACTGTTCAACGCCTTTGTGAATAAGGATAATTATGGATTAGCAGTACTAACGTTAGTACTAGTAGTAGTGTTCGGAGAATGACTTGGAGGAGACTGATCTGCCAGGGAACTCTGCAACAAGGCTGTGCATTTGTTTCTCCCTCTGCTCCGAAGCTAGCATCTGCTGCTTCATGAGCTCGAGCAACTGCTCCATGGGGCTACTACCTGAGTTGGCGGATCGTGCATCCAAATTACCTTCTCCGTCAAACATGACGACCAAACAAAAATATTACTGTAAACAACGCTGAAAAAATGCAAACGAACGGGCTAGACAAATGTCGGAAATAGTTAATAATAATTAACATCCCACTGCACACACAGACATTGAACACCAGGTTTGGGCTAGATCGGGACTCACAGTGGGTGAAATGATTAGGCTTACACCGCACTTCCACATGGTAGGACAAATGTAGAAGGGGCAGCTAAAGAGGTAAGGCTTACACCGCACTTCCACATGGTAGGACAAATGTGGAAGGGGCAGCTAAGAGGTTAGGCTTACACCGCGCTTCAACATGGTAGGACAAATGTAGAAGGGGCAGCTAAAGAGGTTAGGCTTACATCGCACTTCCACATGGTAGGACAAAGGTGGAAGGGGCAGCTAAGAGGTTAGGCTTACACCGCCCTTCAACATGGAAGGACAAATGTGGAAGGGGCAGCTAAAGAGGTTAGGCTTACACCGCACTTCCACATGGTAGGACAAATGTGGAAGGGGAAGCTAAGAGGTTAGGCTTACACCGCGCTTTAACATGGAAGGACAAATGTGGAAGGGCAGCTAAAGAGGTTAGGCTTACACCGCACTTCCACATGGTAGGACAAATGTGGAAGGGGCAGCTAAGAGGTTAGGCTTACACCGCGCTTCAACATGGAAGGACAAATGTGGAAGGGGCAGCTAAGAGGTTAGGCTTACACTGCACTTCCACATGGTAGGACAAATGTGGGAGGAGCAGCTAAAGAGGTTAGGCTTACACCATGCTTCCACAGGGTAGGACAAATGTGGATAAGCTGCTAACACGGGTACGCTTACACCCTGACAACCGCATGGTAGGACGAATGCGGTGGGGCTGGTAACCTGGAGTAAGAGTGCTTTGCAGGCCACTTAACAAATACCTCCATGTTGTGAGTCCCTATTTATTTGTAACATTGATACGAGTTGCTTTTGCGGTGAGTCTGGCACCATAGAAAGCGTTAAAGTTGGGTGGGTTTGGGATGGGGAAAATTCTGGCAGAGAGCTAGTTTGTGAGGAAACAGCGAGCCAGAGAAGCAAGCAAGCGTGGAACAACAAATGCTTCAAAGTAGAATCTTCAGGCACAGGCAGTTTAGTTTAGGCCAGCTGACTTATACATACTGTATAAGCTGACGTCCGTGAAGGTGCGCAGCTCCCGGTTGTGTTTGCAAGTACTTGGTCGCATGCACAAACAGTGACAAGGCCAGCGTATCAGCTGTGGTATGGGTAACGTAAGGAACAAGTGCAACGTGGACCCTATGCGAGAGAGCCAGCTGAGAGGGTGTTACGTGACTGTTAAAGAGAAAGACCAAGGAGCTACAAGTTACGCTATAATAATAATAATAATAATATTCGACGAAGAGACAATAATTTTAATATGGCAACAAGTAGGACAAGCTGAAGTGACATTTGGATTACTTTATCAACAATGTAAGCGATGGAAATGATGCAAAAAAAATGTAAAGGGTAAAGAAACTACCTGTAATAACTATGAAGAAAACACAGCAGCTCTGCCTCCCCCTGACCCTCCTCCTTCGAGGTCTGTTTTGGTGGGGAGTACTCGTGGCGGTCGAGTTGTCCCACTTGAACCAGAGCTGGATTCAACAGAAAGATTAACAACCATGGCTGCAACAACAACACCAGCTTCACATCCAACAGCAACACCAGCTTCACATCCAACAGCAACACCAGCTTCACATCTAACAACAACAGCAACTAATCCACAAAACAAAACAGCAAATGACAGACCACGCAGATCTACAGCAGATTACAACCGGACCTACGAATTCACGGTAAACATACAAAGGAAACAATCGGAGAGGACGACGACTAACTTGAAGGCAACGGTATTCGCGGCTGGCGTTGATGGTGAATGTGAGACGCAACACAATGCAAGTGTAACAGGTAGCCGAGTGGTAAGCGTGGTGCAATTAACACCAGTTATCTTTTATCATTATTCTCTTACGTACACACCTGGTGTATAATTAGAAGTTAAAGAAGAAGCGACAAATAACTGACTTTCTCTCCGGTGCACACCTACAGGTTTACTACTTCTTCTTGGAGTTAGCTTTGTCGTTGCTAAAATATCTAATCTAATTAAAACAGAAATGCGCAGCAGCTTTTATGCAGCAGACACCGTACGCTTATATGCGGAGATACACTAAAATTAATATACATAAGGTCAAGTTCCGTATTGCTTCCGTATTAGCCAGGAAGGGATACTACACCGTCCCTTCCCACAGATAATCACGCCCTCGTGATTTTCAAAAGTAGGCAGGTGGGTGAATGTTCTGTCTTGGCCGGAGGTTGTACGGAGGTGGAGGAGGAGGCGGAGCGGGGGGTTGGAGTTGACGTAGCGGTGTATGTGCACGGGTGGTGTGTATCTCGGGATCGTATGTCGGTGGTGTTGCAGGACGTAGATCTACGTCGGTTACTTGATGATAAGTCAGGCGATTTAAGTGAACAATTGAAAGCCTCTGGCGATCCGACAACGAACGAATGCGGACTGTGACATCATCGATCACCTTCTGGATGACATATGGTCCTGTCCAGAATCGGTGAAACGTGGGGACTCATTCTGGGGGACCACTGGTGAATGTAGGAGAACAAGCTGATCCTTCGTGAACTTCGGTGGCGGGCGAAATGTACCATCGTAACCCTTCTTCTGGTGCTGGTGTGATTTAAGGCCGTGCTGGCGGGCACGCTCAAAGGCAGTCTCAGTTGAAGTACGAATAGAAGAGACGAATTCAGGGTAAGATGGTGGTGGTGTGTTACGGGGTAAACCATACATCCCATCGAGAGGCAGAACTGGATTACAACCAAACTGGAGGCGGAATGGAGAATAGTAAGTCGATGCATGTACACTAGTGCGGTATGCTAGTGCCGTGGGTTGGAGATGCAAGTCCCAGTCTCGGTGATCAGAGATGGATGTTGCAATCATAGCTTCTAGTGTCCGGTTGAATCTTTCAACCATGCCATCACTTTGTGGGTGGTAGGGTGTGGTTCTGGTCTTGGTGATATCAAGCATAGTGCACACGCTTTGAAACAAGCGACTCTCAAACTGGGAACCTTGATCAGTGTGCAAGGCAGCGGGTGCACCATAGCGACAGATCCAACCATCGAAGAACAAACCGGCGACAGTAGAGGCGATCATGTTGGGCATGGGGAAAATCTCGACCCATTTGGAGAAGAAATTCATTATGACTAATACGTACCGATTTCCTCGATCAGTGATAGGAAGGGGGCCCATGACGTCGATGGCTACACGCTGGCTTGGATAGGATGATGTTTGCGATTGCAGAGGTGCTTTCGGTTTGGGCTGATGTGCTTTCCGTTTTTTGTGACTCCGGGCAGGTTCTAACACACTGTTCGATGTCATCAGCCATGTGGGGCCAGTAGAACCGTGTACGGGCCTTGTCGATGGTGCGGGTGACGCCAAGATGGCCCGATCCAATACCGGCATGCAGTGATCTGACAACAGTAGGACGTTGTGACGCAGGCAGGACCAATTGAAGATACGAGGAGAGATCATCAGTAGACTCATACCGTTGGTAGAGAACACCATCTTGGACAATGAGACGATTGAACTGCGTCCAGAGTCGGTGCACATCAGGATGAACAGAAGCTAACTCAACTGATCCCTTAGGTGGTCGTTGCTGTGATATCACCCACTTCATCACTAGAGAAATCGAGGGATCCACAGCTTGGCTAGTGCGGAGGGAGGTAGACGGCAGCCAGGACGCTGACGGAGCAGGCTCACGAGTGCATTGGTCGAGATCGCCTGTGGACAGAGAGACACCGCATGAACTCACAGCAGCAGATGCAGCAGGCGGCAGACACATACTCTTGACAGCAGGGGAAGAACACACATGTCCACACAATCTTGACAAACTATCGGCGTTGCCATGCTGAGAGCCAGGACGATGCCGAGTTTCCTAGTCAAACGCTGGTAACCGTTCTATCCAGCGTGCAACAATGCCATCCGGATTCTTGAACGAAGATAGCCAAAGGAGGGCTTTGTGATCAGTGCGGAGTAGGAATGTGGCGCCGAGCAGGTAGTGACGGAAATAGTGAGCGAATTCAATAACAGCAAGTAACTCACGCTTTGTCGTTGCGTAATTACGTTGACCAGAGGACAGTGTCTTACTTGCATAGGCGATGGGATGCATGTGAGAATCCCGGCACCACCTGTAGCAAATTTGCAGATGACACCGCTCTGATTTCAATAGCGAGAACTCTTCAAGACTGCACCCGAAACCTACAACAGAGTGTCACAGCAACTGGAGACTGGCTTCAAAGATGGCACCTGCTGGTTAACACAAAGAAAACAGTCATCCTCCCGTTCTACCACGATAACCTCCCCCCTGAACACCTACCCCAGACCACCCTCAGGAATGGTCCGCTTACCGTAGCACAAAAACACAAACAACTCGGAATAATCTTTCAGCATGACCTCCGTTGGACGGAGCATGTTGAATACATAGTTAAAAAATCACTCAAGTCTTTCAATATTCTTTTTAGACTAAGGTCTACACTCACCAGTGATTCTTTATCTCACATCTATCAGACAAACATACTGCCTATATTCCCGTATGCGAGCAATGCTCTCACACCGTTGTCATACACTTCCCTTGACAGGCTAGAACGACTCCAGTGGAAAGCCGCCAGAATATGTCTCCACTTTCCCCTTTACACACACTTAGAACACTCCCACCTTTTGCATCGCATCAAATGGCCAACATTATTTTCACGCTTTAAAGTTAAACATAATTATACTCTTCGCGCATTCTCTGCGCCATAATTA